TTAATGGCCTTGAAGGTGTACACTACCGGGCAAAAGTTTCGGATCGCTGTGCATTGCAGAAAAATGTTTAAAGAAAGATTAGCAAATTTGAGAATTTTTTTTAAGGACTTTTGCATCTATCGAAGTGTGGTACATTGCTATTGATCTTGTTGGACTACGGTGAAAAATGAATCAACACGTAGAGAAGGGATAGAAGGCCTAGACAGAGCCTGCAGTTCTGGGTAGGAAAAAGGATCTTTTGTTTCGAAAAAGTTCGGACCTTTTCTCCAGTAAATCTCTAGTTAAGTAAAGACAGTTTTTTTGAAGGTTGAAAAAGACATTAGTTCACTAACGATCCACTGTCCCGATCCAACAGACCTATACAACGTCAATTTGGCATCTATGAAGAATTTGTAGCAGATTCGATACTGGTGTAAATTGACAGATATGAGCATAGACGCGTATATAAGTATATAAGTTGTTTCCGGTTCGCATTCTCGATATATACCGCCAACTTAATCTTAGGTAATTAGTTAAATGTCTATTCTACTCGAGCTCAAACGACCAAGTCTCGACAGACTTTATCTGACTTTAGTCTTTAAGTCTTTATCAGACTTTATCTGTCTCTTGTTGATCGCTGTTAATGCTCGTGTCGATCGCCGACTTTTTCATCGAGTGCACCAAGGCGCCACGGTGGTCACCCGTGACCACCAGAAAGATAAACGCCCCGTGGGTAAGAACGTTGTCTCGTACAACCATATTTATTATTATTTTGCCATTATATGCTTAGAATAACAAAAATACCTTCGTGGCGTCCTGAGCGAAACATGATTTCGGCAGCCAACGTGTTAACCTCCTACGTAACTTTTTGCACAAGTCATCTAGTATACTAATTTTTCTAATTTCTCAAAAAAAAACTCAAGTCGTTTGGTCGAATTTTAAAAAAGTTATACTTGTCAGAAAGTACTCTAACTCGGAGTAGGGTGGGCGTAAAGTTCACTAAAACGTGCCTAAGTTTTTACAATGGTCTATGTTAATACACGTCTGTATCCGCGTTATCGGAGCGTCGTTCGCAAAAAGTACGCGTTCAACGGTCTCGCGAAGAGCGAGGACGCGTCGTCCTGCCGATCCCTGTCCACCCCAAAGCGCTGGGCCTGGCTCAAGGTGCTCGCTTCACCGTCTTCGGGACGGATTTTCTCACATACTGTTTTAAAGAGTGTCCGAATATTAGTGGGAGTCTTACAACTAATTTCTCGTAACAGCCTCCACCTAATGCTCGTCCATTTTA